TTTAGCTTTCAGTTTTTAAATTTACACACCAGTCTTACAGCAACTTAATCTCAAAAACTTAGAAACTTCTAAGTAAACTGCATCATCTGAAAAGTTTATAGGTTCATTTCCTAATTTATTAGGCACTGAATTACAAGTGACATGAACAACACCACAGTGAAAATTCATCCTTCTTCCTCTGTTACATTTCTTGTCCCATGTCTAATCCTCATACCATCACTAACTTTCCTCTATAGCCTCTGATGAAATGAAATATTCAGGGTTCAGACCTCATCTCTTTAAATCTCCCACCCTGTATTCTCTTTGCATGTACAGACGATTCCCATAATTTGCAGGGTATTTTATGCTCTTATTACAACAAGGTAGTAAGTGTCATTATTGGTTGTTTTAACAGTAAGGCTATTTGGTTATGACTCATTTCATTTATGTTTTGACATGTCAATTGATCTCCTCTATCACAGGTCATTTATCTCCGCTACAAATGCCCCAGCCCTCCTCAGCTTGTTCTTTTTACATTTAATACAGATAGTGAAATTCAAATGCCTTTGCTTTTGATAGCCAGATAGACTGGTTTTGTTTCTCTAGCTTTATTTACTACACCTGACTTTTGGCTACACCTCTCTGGCTTCCTAATCTCCGATTTCCCCACTCTTTGCTAGTGACCTCTTTTGGAATGGACTTTGTTTTCAAACTATCTCTGTTTAAATTTAAATGGCCTCTTTGATCTTGCCAAAAACCACCCTCTGCTGTTTTCTCTGGACTCTATATACAAGGTCTCCAATTCATCTTACATCACTGATGCACCAGGTTAAGTAAGACGGCAACTGCATATATTGTTCCATTTATATTGGCCAGTGAGCAAGATGATAATTTTGGATCTTACAGCAGGGCTGAATCACTTGCAGAAGTCACTCTCTTTCTACTGACTCTGAAGACTTAACAAGTGCTAGTGGTGAAGTGTGTTTTGGGACAGTTAACCTGGGAAAGCAGAGTTAATCATATTCTCATCTAACCTGCCACAGTCTACGTTACTGGTTTAGTTACTTCTAAACTGGATTATTGTAATGCTCTTTACATGCACATCTGATGCTTCAGGTGACCCAGAATTGAGGTCTGCTTACTCATGATGAACAGCCTTCTATTTTCAATAAAGTGCACATAAACACGTCTTGCAATGTAAGAAAGGAGCATAGCTATTTGATTACTCCATTTTGTTACATGTACTAGTGAAACAAAGATTACAAAATTTCCTAGAAAGTTAGCCATTTCACCAATACATGACAACCCAAATGATGGTGAAAGAGACACTCCCAGCCAGGACAACTGGCTGCCACCACCACATCCCTTTAGCCACTTGTTTCTGCTGGCACAGGCAAGAGCTAGAACATTGATGCAGTCTACAGCAAGATGGATCCCTGACCCATCTAGGAAGAAATAAGAAAAAAAAGAAAAAAGATAAAGGCTTTCAGCTGCCCCAGTTCTTGACTGAGTTTACCAAGTTGCCACAGAAAGACAATGCTGGCCACAGGAAGGCAGTAAGAATGAGCTGGGAGGAACAGAGGAGGGAAGGAAAGACAGTTCTTTTTCACAGCCATCACAAGCAAGAGACTTCATCATCAACACTGCATACCGTACTTGATGGCAAATATAGCAAAAGTAATACATTACAGGGGAATTACCAAAAAAGTGATCAAATTAAGCATTAGCTTTTTAAAAAAATATATATAAAGGCAATATTAAATTTAATTGCCAAAGTGCTACTCTCTATCAGCCTTTAGTAAAGTTACACTTACAGACCTTTATGAGAGCACCTTGGTTATCCGTACAACTTAGAGAGACCAAACTCTTGAAGTCTAACAATGCATTCCCATAGAAATCTGCACACAGGAGTCCATAAATCTTAACACAAATTGCAGTCTTGGCTCCATTGCTGGAAGACAGATCAAACTATGACCAATGTATTTCTAAATGCCAGAAGAAAATACTGAATCATCAGAATAACCACAACTTTATTTCATTAATGCCCTATTTCTTTAATTACAGCACCTGAGGACTACATAATTAAAAAACTCTAGAAACTGAATCATACTTAAAAGCTGCAAAGAGCTAATGCTGCAGAAATTGGAGCGCCTCATTTTTCTAATCCTGAAGCTGACAGAACACCAGGCTTTAAAACTGAGTAAGGAAAGATTGAACACAGCTGGACAAAACAGTCCATGCGGAAATACAAACTTCTAAGTGGCAAGAGGTAACTCAAACATTAAACTCTTTTTACTGAGTTCAGTGCGATTTACAATCAAATGTGGTTTAGATATTAAACAAAATCAACAATTAGAAAGGGTGTATACTAACAGATTTGTTTTCAGCTGCAGCTGAGGGTTATCTAACTCCAAGTCTCCAGTGTTGAGCAAAACATAGGTAGAGATCCTAAACATTAGCATACAAACCAAGAACTGAAGTCACACTAACAGTAAACAAACAGAAAATAAATTTGGAAGTGTGTGCAAATTCGTGGTCTCTGTTCATAAAAACTGCACCATATTACTGCTGTGGAACAGCAGTCTGTGACTCAGACCCAAGTGAGTCTTACCAACTGTAGCCACCCTACCTTTTTAGTTTTAGTCTACTACTATGGCAAAGCAGCTATTGTTAGACCAGCACTTGCAATGAAAATCTGAGAACTGCAAACAAAAATGCCAAACAAGTCCAGCAAGCTCTTCGCAAAGAAAATTCAATGAAGCTGTGTGTAAGGGCCCCTGTTAGGCTCAGTGTTTACAGAAGAAAAAAATCTGAAAATATGCTGTAGGTGAAAGTAAAGCCCTTGTGTCAACGGACGACAAAGTGGTATCTTTATTATTCAAAGATGACTAAATTCCATGCTGTTGGCTCCTTTTTTTGTTCTGCAAGACTGACGGGTTTTCCAACATGATCTCAGAAATATCTCCTTCCCCGAAAATAATCCCTGATAAGCTGGTGGGCAAAGAAAATTATGAAATTATTCTCTACATGCTTACAGACCAGTAATCTTTGTGCAGCAGTTAATACAATCTATATACATGCAAACAAACATAAACAGCTTCAGACACAGATTGATTTAAATGAAACAGCTCTTGCTTTCCTTACAGTTACTTTACAAATACCAAACAATACAAAAATAGTTCAAGCTGTCACAGAAATCCTGCTGCCCACACAGTGGAATATGGCATTAGCTTCACACTGAATAGCCCTATTGCAAAGAAGTTTGAGTGAAAATACAAAGAACAGCACCCAGGTAAAACTTCAGGGGCTGCAGTTATAAAAGGTTATTTGCTGTTTCAGAATTTTACTAGGACACCCCTGTAAGTTTTTATTGATTTCCTTCTTAAAGAAAACAGCCACAAACTTCTGAGCTGCTACGATTTCTCAATAGATGTGAGAAGTCAGACCATTACAGCCTCACTCTCCTGTTGCTCTCTCTCTCGCTACAGGAGTAATTGTTCATCCAAAGGCACACATGATGCTTTACAGAACCAAGCAGAGCTCATAGGCTCACAGCTTCCAGCAGGCAGTAAAAGGAAAGAAAGAAACAGGAAGAGGATCAGGACATCTTTGCAGAATAATTCCAAAAAGTATTCTGTTTAAAGCTTGGCTGTTCCATAATATCCTCAAGAAATTACTTATATTTAAAGTGGTGGACTCGCACAAGAGATTTGTGCTTTGTAAACTAATACTAAGATGACACAGTGTATTTTAGGGACAAGGAGAGAAACAAATATCTGAAGACAAACCACAAGTCTGGTATTACTGACAGAAGTGAAAACAGAAGAAAAATAGCAAGGAATCAGATGCAAAAGGAAAAAAGGCTTAACTGGTCTTTGAAGACATCTTTAAACTCAACACAATGCAGGAAAGAAAGTCAGTGAAGGACTTTAAAAAAGGAACTTTAAAATTTTCAGGTTGAAACGTTAGATTTTTTAAAAGCTGTAGTCTGGATGGAATGAAAGCAAGTAACAAAAAGCAAGTTTTTTGAAAAAACTCCGCAGTATCAAAGAAGTGTATAAAGTGCAAAAATTATGGAAGCAAAACATGATTTAATACTTTCACTTCTAATATTAGGATCCATTCCAAGTGCATCATCTTATATCAATTTCAGTGGATTGAATACGCAAATGTCGGTACAGATTTACTTGCAGTATCAAAGCTCTGGCATCCTGTACCCCTGCTGCGGCTGCATCTCAATATAGATGCAAATTATCGCGCTGAGCACCATGAACTACCAGGGAATATAATTTTGTTTTACAGACAATTAGCTCTTATAATCCTGTGAACTCAGTTGTTATCCTCCTTTTCCCTTCCTTTCTGTTGCACTTACCTGTTTCAAATTCACACATGGAATACAAGTCCCACCATGGTTCCCATCTCTAATGCTATGAATGCTTACTGGACCTAACATAATAGCCTGAATTCCAGCATGGTAAACACTGAGAAGACTTGCACCATAAACATACTTTATGCATTTATCCAGATCCTTCCCTAGCTTAGATCCATCCCCCAAGGTACTAACTCAAGTAAAACCAAGAAAACTAAATTACATTTTCCATAAGGACACATGACAGTAGAATCAAAAATATCCTATACCAAAACTACTGCAAGATGGGAGGTCAGCATGGCAAAACACATGCCATTCCTTTCCTAAAGATCACGGCTTTGGTACCAATCTAATGAAGCCTCTGAAGTTATGACCATAAAGAAAAACGTGGTTTACAGGGAAGATACGAAGAGGGAAAGTGTGTATTAGTTGTATGAAGACTTACTTTCTAGTGCCTATTATTTATGCTAAACTAAATTATGAGATACATGGACTAAAATGCTTTCCTAGGTAATACAGAACAGTACTAGCGTCAAGCAAAAAAACCCAGAACAACAAATGAGGAAAGACTTAACAGTCATCACTTCATAATTCATCTGTGAAACTCAGTGCTATACAGCCAAGAAAAAATGTCGGTTCTTTTTGTTTTGTTTTAAAGAGCCCTTAAAGCAAACATCACTCCCCAGAAAAGCATCACACCTTCATAAAAAGACATTACCGTTAATGTTGTCACAGTAGTAAAAGTGTTCATCGTTTAGAGAAGGGCACGCAGAAACTAAATCCTGCAGGCCTGCACCAGTTACAGTGAGACAACCCGAGAGGTTAAGGTGTTCCAAACGTGGCAGTCCTCCTCCCAGAGTCAATGCCCTGTTAACAGACAGAAGAGAGGTGTTAAGAGCCTGCACTGAACTAGACTGACAAGTACTCCACTACATCATCAAGTCAGACTTAAAAACAAGTCAGACTTAAAAACAGCCCACACCTCTAATAAACCATGCAGTTTTAAATCTGGCAGTTTCATACCCTAATAAAGGGGGTCACCCCTGAAGCCACCTAACAGACCTGAAAAATGAGTGGATTTCGACAGAAACTAACAATTCCTTCTAACAGGCTTAAATGGTAAATCATTTTGAATGACTCCAGATATGACCAAGACATTCTTCTCCAAAATACCACTGATTTTGGCAACTCTTCCAAGGTGATGTATATTCTTCACCCCACCTTGAAAATGTGACATTCCCAAGTTTGGTGCATTACAGTTCTGAAAGTTTCACCATCTTTTTCATTTTTTAAATTATTTTGGAATCCAAATTTGTATTTTCCTAGGGCTGACAGCACAGCCTCTCTCTGCCAACACATCACCTTATTATTCAAGCTGAATTCCCCATTTTTCCTCTAAACCCAAGAGAGCTTGGCTGTTGATGGATATATCACACCTGAGCAATCACTCCATGTCAGGCTGCTTGCTCCTCCATGAGCTCTCAGGGCAGCCAGCCCAAGTTCAATCACAAACACAACTCACCGACCTTGAATTACCAAGCTAGAACATAAAACTGAAAATGCCTTCTGAGCATCACTGTACAACCTTCTCTTGTCAGCAGGCAGAAGTAGAACCGTTGACCACAAAAGCAGCTATCAGTTAACAACTTTTCTATGAAATGGACTGCCAAGTGTTTCTGTTCGGAGGTTTCATTCTCTCCTCAGGGACTCAAACCATTCTGGTGAGCACAAGAAGCACCCGTTTGCAGCACACTCTCAGCTCTTAAATACTTTTAACCAAAAAGCACCAATGGAAGACTGGCACCACAACTAAACAGTTCCCGTGACTCAATGATCAATCTCCCTTTGGTCCTAGATTATCAAGTTATGAAAAAAACAGACCAGTAACACGCAAACTACACACAGCATGACCTCATCAGCACCAAACAAAACTCAGCAGTACCGGTTCACTCCGCCACTTGAACAGCAACAATCTCAAACAGAAAGCACAGCTATCTGAAGCTTACTCTGAGCAAGACT